CTTGAAATACGGTTGGTAAAATAAGGTTCTATTGGTAATCTCATCATTCTGTCTCTGTAAAATTACCAATAATAGTGAGATGGCAAAGTTACCGATGGACCTTGGGAAAAACGCCAATAGTTTTTATCGACTGTGGTAGAATTACCGAGATAAAATGGTAAAGTTACCGGGGATTGATTACCAATAAAAGTGGTATTCTTACCTGAAAAAATCAGTAAAAATACCGGTTTTCAGGTAAGCTTACCAGTCTGTCTTTGTAACATTATACTAATAATTGATAAAAAAAAATGAGATGGTTAAGTTACCAACGGATCTCGGTAAAAACGGCGGCGGCGGAATAGAAACATCTTTCATATGCGTCATTCATGCGTTAATGAAAAATTGCAATTTATTGCAATTTATCTCTATAAAATCGCGTTCGATAATATCGCGATTTTGTTGCAATTTATCGCGATTTTTCTCCCGATAATATTGCAATAAATCGCGACGTCGATAAAATCGCGATACATTCTCCAATTAAATCGCAATTTATCGCGATCACTGCTACTTGGGAAAGTGCGAAAAAAATTCTATGAAAAATTGGAAGAAAAATATTTATAAGTTCTTGATTTCTGATATGCATGTTTTAAAAATTTACTGCATGTTCACTGCTCATATGTTTTTATGCTAATATAATACTAATGTTTAATACTAATATTTTTTTTCATCCACGGAAAGGAACCCAGAGCCTCTCCGGTAATTTTGGCGCGTATACGTAGTATACCGCCTTTGCGATCGTTTCGACCCCCCACTCGATACAATAACCGAGTGAAAAGTGACTACCGCGAACTTCTGAGATTTTCCAAAGCGTGTAAAAAGTTTATTTATCCGTCAATAATTATGATTTAAAGTTGTTTCTCATTCTGGGGCCCTCTAGTTTATGTGTAATGAATACCGAGAGTCTGCGTTACTTGTTTTTTTTTAAAAAAACCTTGCAACGCGCTGATTTAAAATATGCATATATAAGCAGAAGCAAGCGAACTGATTCGAGGATGGCTGATCAGGTCGGCACTCGTTGAATGAGAATTTCACTTCTTCGTTTTGTTTAAAACGTTGCTTTGACAGATCTCCACAACCCTGATATGATTTTCAAAATTTGGTACCAATTGCTCTGATAGCCGGGGCCAGCAGCATAGTGGTAAGTGCAATCTGTGATGAGCCTCGAGACTCATTAGACCATTTGCTAACCGTGGCCCATACAGAAATTCACTCCCCTATCAGGCCAAAACAGTGCACAGGCAGGCACAAAACCCAGATAGTGTCCCGGTCCTGGCTCGGTTCGCCGCGTCGCTTCCCAGCTGAAGAACAAAAGGCGACCCTCGCGGTCCTCGTCACAGTCAGACCTAATTACTTTCACTCGATTACCCATTTCACTGTCACGCTGCGATCCATCAAATTTTCGAAAAAATGGTTTCGCGAGTACTTAGCAATTCTTTCCTTACTCTCCGTTCAAAGACGAATTGAAAGAGGTCTCATTCATAGAAATCGGCCGAATAGAAGAGAAGTTACAGTATTCGAAATCCGAAGAAATCAACGAAACTTCTCCAAACAAAAAATAAAATGAAGGGGAAAAAAGAAATGTATAAATTACAATTAAATATATCAAAATCGTTGAACATTGTAATGTAATGTGTGGAGGTAGTAGCACTTAATATATATGAGTTTGGGTTGGTAGCCGAGTGCTAGAAATAATGCAAAAAATGTTTTAAAAAAACACTTACATTTTATTGATAACTTTATTTAAACCGAAGCTTTTCAGGGCGGACGCCTCGTCGTCAGGGTAACAACAAAATCAATATCACAAAGGCCGCTGCCATACTTTAAATTTCAAACTAGGTAACAAGTGATAACAAGCTATTAGGTCAGTCTTACTAATCAAAACAATGTCAATGTATGTTTAGTATCTGTTTCTCATCAGAGATAGCAGCACATTTTAGGTACAGGGATTAGTTGCCAGGTCTACTTCTTTTTGTACATTTAATAATGCTTCCCCTCTTTTTACTGCCTTAGTTATTTCATATTTTTCTAGGACGCTAAGCATTTTTATGTCCCTGTTTTTGTGTAGAATTTTAATTTCTTTTATTTGATGTGCTTAAAAACGTTCGAGGATGGAAGTGTCAAGTGTTCATTAACTCTACAGTTGATTGAGCGCTCAGTTTTTCCAATATATATTTTCTTGCATGAATTACAATCTAAACGGTAAACGCCAGTTATTTTCTTACTATTATCACTATTGCTTTTACCTTTTTTGATTTTGTCGGTGACCTTCCTCATATTGTCTAGTACGCTGTTATTAGTCTTAAAAGCTGTTCTGTACTCAGTTTTTTTGAAACAGTTGCTAATTTTTGAGCTAACAGGGCCAAAATAATCAATTTTTACATATTTGTCATTATTTTTGGGTTTTTTAGCCTCATTGCTGTTGGCATTAGATTTCTGTTTTTTATGTCTCCTTAAAATTTTGTTGACAATATATTTGGGGAATCCATTAATTTTAGCAATATTCTGGATAATTCCGATTTCCTCTTGTCTATGTTTGTGGCCAAGAGGAATGGAAAACACTCTATGTGCCATTGCATGAATTGCAGCGTGTTTATGGCTGTTAGGGCGCCCCGAAAAGCTTCGGTTTAAATGAAGTTATCAATAAAATGTAAGTGTTTTTTGAAAACATTTTTTGCATTATTTCTAGCACTTGGCTACCAACCCAAACTCATATCAATTAAATATAATTGACCTCAGAATTTGGCAAGCAATTCAACTATATAACGGAGAAAAAATTGAGAGAAATTACAAAAAATTCGCCTCTTGCAAGGGGCTTCCTTGTAAGAATTTTGATCTGAAAGCAAGGATTGAATACCAGCGCAATACACCATACAATACATGGTGTGCCTGAACGAACATTTTTTTTTGTCAAAATCGAAAATTCTTTATATTTTTTAACTACAGTGTCTCTTGAGTCGTTCAAGCCAAAAAAAAAATTCCGTCAAGATTCTGGAAAGAAAAGGCGCTTTAAAAGTATTTTGGGGCTATGTATCCTAACTGTGTCCACACATGGTTTCTGTTCAGCATATCCATGTGTAAGTATTTTTACACGTAGAATCTAATTTTCACGTCAAGGAGTCAACACATCTCGATTTTTTCGATTTTATAAGGAAAATTGATGGTTTTTCGGGATTGAAATTATTATTGTTTCATGAAAAATAAATGCACCCAAAATGACTATAGCATATCGATTTTTATATATTTGCACCCACGAAATTGGTTGGTAAATTCAACGAGTGGGTGCATCGACCTGGTATATCAAGTTTCTGCAATTTTTTACGGCAAATCGGTAGATTTTCGGGATGTAGATTGCTTACTTTCAACTCAGGAATGAATAAAGCATGGACATGGTTGAACTTCTTTGCATGGAAATACGTTTAAAATAACAAAATCAAGACATATTTAATGCAATTACATTTATATCGAGTCAATTTCTTTTCAATAATATATCGGGATTTATAATAGGTACCGGTGATTTGGATATTTTAGCCCCAAAAATACCTTTAAATCGACTGTATCTTTCAGGAGTTCGACAGAATTTTTCCTTTCTTCGCTTAAATTATTCCGTAGCACTTTTCTTTAAGAATCTGATAAGATATTGCTGGGGGCAGATCAAAAAACTTAAACTCGTTCGAATGGCTTTCTACATTCACAATACACGGTCTCGTCAAGTGCGTCGTCGAAGAGTTGGATCGTATGAATTCTCTTGTTGTGCTACTTGCCTATTTTGAAATCTCTGTAAATGAAAACTAAAGGGGTTGATATGTGTGAGTTAATGACGCGCCTTATCAACACATTGTGTTGGAGTTCACTGCTTGTTTTTCTTTAATATACAGCGCAGCAGGGGTGGGGGCAGTATAATTAAGTACGTGCCTACTCTTTCGTCCGCAATCGCCACCGCTGAAATTCTCTGGTCCGCAAACTCCACCGGCCCTGTTCCGCCTTTCCGCAATCGCCACCATCAAAATATAAGAATCCGCAAACGCCACTGGATTCTTAGAATCCGCAAACGCTACGTCCGCAAATGCCACCGCACCAAACTAGGGAGTTAGCCGCCCCCGGGCCGCTTCGCGGTCCAACCGTCGTGCGGCGTGTCAAAGCGATTAGTGCCTCAAGCGACATGCGTTACGCGTTACGCGTTACTCTTGAGATTTTCTAATATAAAGTATGATATGCAGGATTGTTGTCCTTTAACTCCATGATTAAATACTTTCATAGATGCGAAGTTGTTTTAGATGTCTTAGGAAATAATGAGGAGTGATTCCTGTTGCTAAAATTAGGAATGGTAAAAAAAAAAAAAATTGCTTCCTCACTGGCAAAAAAAAAAATAAAAACTTAGGGTATATCTTCTGCTGAAAATCCAAAAATACCCAAGTTATCCGATAGTAGTTTTTGGTTTGACTAGTAAGATGCGATTGGAGACTAGCATTCATGATCATCGGATTCGTGAGTCGGTTCATCACATTCAGACAAGCCGAATTCAACTTCTTTGGACGCCTCTGAAGATGTGTCAGCCAGGAGGTTGCCCAGCCAGTTAGTTGCGTGCTGCAGACAAGTCTCTCCATGTATATCACTGCCCCTACGGATAATATTATTATTCACAAATCCACGTCTTTTCAAGACGAAAATGTTCGCCGGAGGTAGCTTATGCGTCTCGGGGAAACTCAATAATGTCGTGAGACTTTTTAATGTTGGGAGGTATTTTAATGAATACCGTTCTAAGGAGAACTATTCTCTGGAGAGTAGTTACCCATGTTGTGTTTTCTTGGGATTACGTGAAAAGGTAGATACATTATGATGATCAAGATTATCTCACACTTCAGGTCTTCGGAGGGTTTTATTACTATCATTATTATTCATTAAATTTTTAATTTTTTTCGTATTTATTTTCTCTTTAAACCTATTAATTTTTTTCTTTCCAGCCAGAAATCACAAGAACTTATTCTAAGAATGAATGGTGCCAGGATCTTAAAACCATCATTCGGAAAGCCAGTGCATCAGATGCGCACGTCGTCCTCCTTATGGAAGAAGCGCAGGTAATACTGACAGCACTAATTAGGTTCTTCCTTGGATTTGAAAAGATTCGGAACAGAGTAGAAATTATAAGATCTACGATATAGATACTATACAATTTGGAATGCTCAATAAAAGCCACTGTTTCCAATAGCTTGTGGAAAATATAGGAAAATTCCCTAGAGACACAAAAAAGCAAGTATCATCTGTTCTGACCCGCAGTCTTCTGACAGCTTGCACATGTCTTGAAATTATCTCCAAATGCTGAAACAAGAACTTTAGCAAGAAACCGGCTTTCGTTTCTCCCCTGTTCCATGGTGGAACAAGGGAACTGAGTCTGGGAGAGTAAAGTGTATTTCCATCAGAAGACGCCTATCCAGATGTGAAGACCGCGAGGTGAGAAAGGAGATTATGGGACAACTTAAATCTGCTCAGAAGGACACGGAGGTTGACATTTGAAAGGCGAAGTATTCTTCCTGGAATAAGCTGATTGACCAGCTTGACAAGGACCCTTGGGGAAAAATCTACAAGCTTGTCAGTAGGAAAATCAAAAGACCGCCCTCCCAAGACAAGTCTGAACCGTCGCATGAGGAGATTCTAGACGCTGTTGCTGAGCTTTTTCCTGCTCACCCTCCGATTACATGGTCACTTTACCAGTAGACATGAACTCCGTCCCCCGATTTTCTATTGAAGAGCTCACCTTACCCGCCCAACACGAAAATGTTTTCAAAATATTGCAGCAACATTGTTATTATACTTTCGAAAATATTGCTGCAATATTGTCACAATATTGTCAAATATTGCAGCAACGTTCTAATGATCTACCTAAAAATATTGTTGAAAACATTGTCGGCAACGTTTTGGCAACATTGTCGACGATGTTGCCAAAATGTTTCGAAAATATTGCAAAAATATCCCAATGAGGTTACATATTCCATATACGTGTGCGCGCGCTCTAGGAGACGTCTTTGATACTAATCTTCTTTCTAATGTGCATATCGACGGTGTAAGTCGGCAATCACATAACTCGTTTGCAGTGTCTGAAAATCTCCGGCTGTATGTTATTTTCTTAAAAGAGAACAAATTGACATTATTCTTTGAAATTTCTGCAGAATTTTCTTCGCACAGAGAAGAAAAATCACGGCAGTTTTAATGAATTGCCGATGAGTAGTTTTCTGTTCAAAAAATAAAGTATGGCAGGAAGTCTGCGACGTCGCAAATCGAGTTATGTGATTGCCGAGTTACACCGTCGATATGCGTTATTACCAGGATACCCGGTAGTGGATCGTAGAGTTATGACTTACCTACCTTAAAATCCGCGCCGGCAGTTGAAATCCGAAGTCCAGTACTTTACCACCAGACCAGCCAGGCTTGGTATAGAGGAGCCCCTAAATTCAATCTCTTAACTATCGCAGGCCTCTGAGACCGTAAAAACTCCAAAAAACCCAAAAACTTGGGTAAAGAGACTCCGAGCAAGTCACCATCCTCTTGCCAAAAACCTCCAAAAGCTCTTCTTTGTTCCCCTCTTCAGTGGAAAAAGAAAATATCACACTACGACAGTTTCCATTTCTGTCATAGAGTACCCCAAGCGGACCAAAGAACGGAACTCTTAGTCGTTTACACATTTACCTATTTAACAAAATCTCCAGGAGGTCACAGA